CATCACCGTCGATAAAAAGCGATGGTGGAGCAGAACTGGCCAATGCAATTCAGTGCAACTCTGCGTTTAACCTTGAATCGCTCCCCTGTTGCGACCGGGGAAGCCTGGAGTCATCTAATTTGATCTCTCTGCAGGAATGCAGCACAGCGCTCTGGCACAGGCCAGTACAGGCTCTGCTGCTCCCCTCCAGGCACACAGCTCGGGCCTAGCACAGCGGACCCCTCCCCCCCGTGTGTTTTAGGGTGAACACCCACCCAGGTGGACCGGAGCCGCTTCAGTCAGCACCTGCCTCAGGCCCTGCTACAGAGTGGGGGGCTGTGTCAGCAGGCGCAGGCTACAATCAACGATTCAAGGGTTTATTCCTGTGCTGAAAGGCCAGCGTTTCGGCTGTGGAGCCTTCCTCCGGTGTGGGAAACAGAGGGAAGAGAGGGAAGTCAGCAGGGGAGAATAAAAGCCGGGAGTGGAGAGGAGGCAGAGTGGACACTGGGGGGGCGTGAAGCCGAGAGAGGGGTGAAATCAAAGCCTGCAGATGATTAGAGAGGATTAGAAGGAAACGAGTCTGTCGCTGAGAGAAGGGGGAAGGTGTGATCCTCGTTTCAGGAACATTTCGGTTTCGGATGTCTTTCTGCGTTGAAAGCGTTGTGTTTCTTTTCTTCCCTTTTCAGCATGGGAACAAACCTTTTCTTGTTCCTTTGCAGCCTGCGCCTGCTTCTGTAAAATCCACAAGAGCAAGCTATTCCAGGTGCATGTGTGTTTGTGCTTCCTTCATTTTATGCCTGGTGTTGAGCTGTGTATAAAGTGTCCTCCTGTCAACAGGAATTGGTTCAGTTCAGTAGGGATGCCCTTGATTGCATTCTATAGGAAACTCGTCAGGTTTAATGGGTTTGACTAAATTCAGTTTTCTCCTGCTTACCGATTCCTTTTTTCGCTTTTCCTTGATTTCTTCTCTCAGGACATCTGTGTGTCTCCGAAGTTCATTGTGGACGGCGCAACAAGGACAGACGTTTGTCAGGGAATACTGAGTGAGTCGATATTGTCTTAAACGTCCAGCTGGCTAGTTTACAGCTTGCAAAAATCCACTAAGGTTTCATACACTGTGTCAATTCTGCAGAATACTGTGTTGTTTTGAAAAACATTTGAATGCCTTTTAACTTTGCAAAAGGATGTGTCATGCCGTCTCTCTCTCCGGGCTGTGGGGACATGGTGCCGACGCCAGAGTGTCTCGGCCCGTCTCTCTCCGGGCTGTGGGGACGTGGGGCCGACGCCAGCGTGTCTCTCTCTGGGCAGTGGTGACATGCTGTTGTTGGTTTGCAGGTGATTGCTGGTTCCTGTCAGCTGTGGCCTCTCTCTCCCAGCACAGAGCCCTGCTGGAGCGCGTTGTCCCCGAAGGGCAGGGATTTGACCGCGAGTATACCGGCTGCTTCCGCTTCCAGGTCAGTCCTGAGACGCCCTGCTCCTCTGTTAGTCCATTGGGAACCTTGACTGGTGCCACCCGCGGGCTGCAGATCAGTTTTTCTAAGCCCTGCCATTCCGACGCAGGACAGGGGCTGTAACTGAACCACAAACCAGGGGCACTGCGCTCCCAAGCTTTGAAAGGCACGGGACTTTGGCTCTTGTTTTGTGACCATGTTGAAGAGGCTCCTGTTTCTTGCTGTTTCTAGTGTAGTTCAGTGCCTATGCAGACGGTATAATCCAGAAGTAAGTGCAGTAGGACAACGGGGAGGAGACGATGAGGATCAGGAGAGGTTGATGAACAGGGGGGCGTGACGACAGTGAACTGGTGCTCGGGGGGCGTGGCCAAGGCGAACAAGCCCAAGGAGTCCAGGGGAGAAATCCGGGGAGAAGTCCAAGGTCCAAAACCGGGTGATCCATCCGAGACGAACACGAGACAAGGTTAAAAACCGGGATCCGGTGTAGGGACAGGGAACAGGGAATAAAAACGGGATGACGAGGCTAGGCGCTCTGAGCCCCAGACTCAGCTGGCTCGGGATGCTGATAAGAGGCCTATGCCCTCAAGCCACGGACATAGGGCGACGTGATGGTAGGCTGGCCTCCGGGCATCCGTCTTCCGATGCTGAACCCAGAGAAGGGAGAGCGTCTGGCTTAATTAAGGACGGGCCGGACTGGGGGCAGGTGCTCGTAATCAGCAAAATAAGAAAGAGCCGGAGCACCCTTAAGAGGAGGGATTATGATCGAGAAACACATCAGGGGGGGACATTGCTCTGCGTTTGACATCCTGTGTTCCTTTGTAGTTCTGGCAGTATGGAGAGTGGAAGGAAGTGGAGGTGGACGACTTCCTGCCCACGGAGGGCGGCCAGCTGGTGTACCTCCACTCGGCGGAACGGGACGAGTTCTGGAGTGCGCTGCTGGAGAAGGCCTACGCCAAGTCAGTCTCCGTCCTCGTTCCCGGCACTTCCCTGCGCCGCGGCAGCCTGTGTGTTTCGGGGTGAACACCCCCCCCGGGTGAACTGGGACCCCCACAAATTCCCAACAGCACGTCCGTGGCCTGTGGTGCCAGTGCAGTCTTTCTCAGTCAGCCCCCACTTCAGGCCCTTCTGGAGCACGCTAATCCAGATGCCCGTCTGCATGTGTGTTTGTGCTTCCTGCGTTTTAAGCCTGGTGTTGTGTTGGGTACAGTATATAGTAGCCTTCTGTCGACTTTCTTTTGCACTCTCATGCTCCTGGCATCTGTTGATGGTCTGGCAGCTGACCCACTCAGACTCCCACTCCACAGCAGTCTGAACCAGGACAGGGTTTCCCAGCTGCAGGGCTCTTGTTCATGAGCCTATTCCATGTGTGGGACGCATCATGCATGCTGCTCGTAAATTGAAAGACAAAGTTAGACAATTGATCCTTTTAATCCTCCTGGAGATTTAATCTATATTTAATCTTCCTCTGCAGTATATGTTTAAGTTAAAAGGTTGCACTTCTTGGGGATTTAGCAGTCTACTAAGACTTGCTCACATAATCAATTGGGTGAAAATATCACTTCTCTGTAACAGTTACAGATTTGTTCCCAGAGCTTAACAAGACACTAACAGATCCCCTCTCTTGGGTAGGGAAATCTGCTCGTAAAACTGTCGCCTTTTAATTGGAGGCTAGAAGACAAACAGACGATTCCCAACGTTAGTCTGAATGAAGGCACGCCCAGTTTCCCCTTGAACCCGACAGTGACAGTGGAAGTCTCTCTCGGTCAAACCCGTCTGGCCAGCCTGCTACATCTTCCTTCTTACCCGTATCTAACGTGACAGAGGCTAGTACTCCCAGTGCAAAGAGATAATTATTCAAATCTGATCTGTAAAATTTAAATCCCTCGTCCCAGTGTGGCAGGTGATCTCACCCTGAGATCTTCACTATCAGGAAGACTTGAAGACTTGGGTCTGAGCAGACAGCCAGCCTGTCTTCTCTGAGTTACTGTTCACAGGGAACTGGTGTCCACAGGGGATGCCAGTTCCTTCATTTCCTCTTGAGCTGCTTGTGGAGTGCTCCATCGCTGCCCCCTGGTGGCTCCACCCTGTTTTCACATACCTGCCCTGTTGCAGGGACCTTAAAAAAAAAGGTTTTTGCTCCAGCCCAAAGCTCTGTTTCAGGCTTTCCCCTTGTTACAGGAAAACCGCAGCTACCTTGCCTCAATGGTTCCCGTGGAAATTATGAGGCAGCTCATTTAAGACGGAGAATAGGTGCCACTTCCTTGCACAAAGGGTGGTGGGAGTCTGGAACGAGCTGCTCACCCCTTGTTGACTGAGCACTCCATGCTGTTGAAGCTCACTGTCCTTTACATTCCTGGTGATGCTTTGTTTCTGTGTACGGCAGGGTTGTGTGCATCGAAATAATAATGCAAACTACAACCTTTGACTCTTCGAACGCTGTCTGTGTGCACTTGCTGGATTTGGGTGTGATGGCGATGACGGTTTTAACAGGCTCTTCGCCCAGTTTTCCTGTTCGTCCTGTGTGTGTGTCTCCAGGCTGAAGGGCGGGTACCAGGCTCTGCAGTTGGGCTTCCCTCACGAGGCCTTAGTGGACATGACGGGGGGCGTGACCGAAATCTTCACCATCCCACTGCTGCCACCTGACCTCGCGGGCTTCCTCCGCCCGCTGCTGGAGAAGGGTGCGCTCATCAACTGCGTCAACACTCAGGTGGGTACTCGCTGCCCAGCGGGCGCCAGTTCAGACAACCACCTGTTTGTCTTGTTGCGCTGTGGGTATGCGCGCCTGTCGTTTCTGCTGTCTCGGTTTTAGCTGGTTCCTGTGACAGCGGGCATCTCTGACTCCGCCCCCCCAGCCAGGGGAGTCTTGCAGGCGATTGGAGGAGGAAAGAGGGGGGCGGGGCTTTCCACCTGAAAGCCTGCAGATAATATCAGGACAAGCAGGATTAGTGATGTTAACAAACTGCTGCTGCCAGCAATTTGCAGGAGCTCCATATTGGCCATATTTCTAAATCATTCAAAAACAGCGTATAGCATGTGTGTACAGTATATTTTATAGCTCTGGCACCTATTTCACAAAAGAAATGTGTGGATTCTGTCTGGAAATTCCCAAATAAAGCAAATAGGAACAAGCAAATAAAGTTGCAGGAACGGCTGAACTTCCTCTCTCTGCTTTGTGTGTTTTACAGGGGGAAATGGAGAAGAAGAATGAGCAGGGCATCCTCTTCAAGCATGCCTACTCTGTCACCGGCCTGGAGAAGGTGACCCCTACTGGCCATTACTGGCACTGCAGCTCTGCAAACACTGACACAATCACCACGAAAAATCAGAATTTCCTCTCTTTGTGTAACTCGTGGTTTATTTTAAGAAGTTTATTGTTGTGGGAGTGCCCTTTTGACTGTTCTGCTTTTGGGAGCTGTCGGAGAGAGTCCCTGATGTGCAACCTGACTGTGCAGGCCAGAAGAAGTTTTAAATGCTTTCGATAGCCGTGTCTCACAACTTAGTTTGCACACAGAAAGCTGACAAGAATAGCTGTGTAACTGCTCGTTTTTCATAGGTATTTTCTGTTCCTTTTATCACATTACTATAATGCTGTGATCTCAATTCTAAAGGCACTGTCTACTGGCCCTGCAGGGTCATGTAGTGAGCCCACCTGCAGACACACATAAGGAAAGGGGACAGTCCAGTTCACTATGAGCCCTTTAAAAATGTCTCCTCTGTAACTGGAATTAGGTGGGAACCTGTCACTATGTATGTGCATGAGCACCCTCTCCCCTCTGCCTTCTGTCTCTGCCCTCTCTTTTACCTCTTGGTCTCCCTCTCTCTACCACTTTCTCTGTGTCCCTCCTTCCGTTTTGTCTAACTTGAACCATGCTTGCCGTCTCCCCCTCCACCTTCCCATTCTGTGCGCTCGCTCTTGCTCAGGTGAGGTGTTACTTGGGGGAGGCTGACCTGGTGCGCGTGAGGAACCCCTGGGGTCACACAGAGTGGACAGGCCCCTGGAGCGACAACAGCTGGTATGACCGATGGCAAAGGGCTGGGAGACACAGCATGCAAGGGGAGAAGAGGCCAGTCAGAGCAGTGATCAGACAGGCACAGACGCAGAGTAGATCGACACAGGCGCACAGCAGTGACCACAAACACAGAGCCAGAACAGATAGACAGACGCA